ATTTTGCTGGGAGGTAGGTGGGTGAGTGTGAGAGGCTTTGGGGACTACAATGATGATGGTAAGGGGTACATTGTAGCAACCTATGGCACCAAGAGATATTTTCTCAATCTTTCTTCCAAAACTCAGTACCATTCATGTGAATCGTTTTTTCTTTCTCTTTCAATGAGTTACAGATAGAGTAAAACCTGTTCTGATTCCCAATAGTTTAACAAAAGATGGGCTTATAATAGCATTCTATTAGCCCTGGGGAAAGGGTGGCCTTGGGATACTTCTTGCTTTGCTTTCTTGGGAGGGTCACCTGATGACACAGGATGACTTCTTTTGCACCACAGCTTGAATCAGTCTTGGCTGATCCCAAATCTTCTGCTTTTGGGGTCTACTGGCTGTGAGGTCCTTGCATTCCTCCCCAACCCCAGAGGTACCCCATCTCCACTAGCAAATCACCAGTGTGGAACAGGCTGAGCTCTTCATCACACTTTGGACTAGTCACCTAGTTAACATCAAGTGATTACCTAGTCAGATTATTTTCCCTACCTCAGACCTTGATGGATCTCTTAAGTCTGTTCCTTATAGTCCTAAAATGTCTAGATGTGGAGCTTCTTTAATGGGACACCTCAGGTCCAGAAACTACAGTGTTGATTCAGTCTTTCCTCGAGACTGGGCTCAGAAAGAAGAGCTTGACATTCTTAGTACTTTCTCCAGTAATCCTTGATCTTTGTGTCTGACTGGGGGAACTCTCTTTTGAGCCGTGAGTCACTATTATGTATGTATGTATGCATGTATGTATGTATTTATTTAATTTCTCTCTATCTAGAGACCTAGGGAGTGGGTGGGTTTTAAAGAATGCGATATATAGCAACTCTAACTCTCCTCAGATAGGCACAGTTATGGTTAAGGTTGCTTAAGTTCAAGACCCTGGACCCAGCCCAACCTCAGCTTGCCTTCCAGTCCATTCTCTTCATTGCAAGATCCACTTCCAACTTCTCAGCCAACTCCTGGCCCTTTCTCAGTTTTCCTAAGGCCATGTGGAGCTTCTCCTGTAGAGGAAGTTAGCAGATTAGTCCCCAGTTACAGCGAGACGTGGAGAAGGTGGTAGTGGGTTGAGGAAGATCATACTAGTCTTTAGAAAAGCCTACATGTGGAGAAGGAGTAGGCACTGTAACCTAATGTGTCTTACAAAATAGACCTACACTGTTGGGGTGGCAGGATGGGGGTCTTTCTCATTTCTGTTTAACCAGGAAGCCATGAAAAAACATGATCCATGTAGCACCTCCCCATAGCATAGCCCCTGCTGCTGAGAAAAAGGAAGGTTGTATTCAATGCACAAGTTCCCCTTGGTGAAGGAAGGAAGGATCTCTCCACTCCCAAGAGGTGGCTCCCAAGCATCATTCTGAGGATCACGGCCCCTCTTCTCTATACCTGCTCTGTCCGTGTTAAGGCCTCACCTGGTATACCCGAGCAGCCTCTTCAATAGGGACCTTGGTGTGGTCACGGTGTTTCCCAGATTGGGTACACACCCAGCAAAGGGCCTGCCCATCTTCCTCACAGAACAGGTGAAGTTTCTGTCCATGTACCACACACTGGTCCTCCTGGGTGCCCTTCTTGACATCCTGAGCTGTGTGTCTAAGGTTTTCCACCATGTTGGCTATGTGCCGATTGGGCCTGAGGTTCCTGAGCAGAAAATGTTGCCGGCACTCCGGGCATGAACTGCCCCCATCTTTCCCAACCTGAGAAATGCATTCCTTGCAAAAACTATGGCCACATTCAATACTCATAGGCTCCACCATGGGATCCAGACAGACAGAGCAGGTGACATCCTCCCACAACTTTGTCAGGGACATTTTTGAGTCCATAGGGATGACGGTCCTGTGAAGCAGCACTGTGGACTCTTGAGGGGCCTGGGTTTGAGGGGAGGAGAAAGGGAAGAGAGACTAAGAGTCTGTGCAACAAAAACAAAAGAAAAAAAACCCAGAAACTTCCCATGGTAACTCGAAGGAAAGCATCGGGGAGGATGGCATGGAAGGGCAGAGATAAGAGGACCTGAATAACAACAGCTCTCCTCCATTGTCTGGCCCATTGATCTAGTCAGGCAGAAAGAGAAACTGAATCTCCAGAAAAGGCAGGGGAATTGCAGGAGACTCAGAAACAACACTGTTAATAACTCTACCTTCATCACGCCCATGTCTGCTCCAATCCTCAGCGTCTGGACATTCTCTACCCACATTCTCCTATCTCACGTCTCCATGTTGCAGAGAAGTTAATGATAACAGTAGTGATCATGTTCCATGCACCCTCCATGTTAACCACGCACTCTTCGTGTTTACCATGCACCCTCCATGTTTACCATACACTCTCCATGTTCCTGCTGGATGCTAGCTACATGCTTTACATCAGTCTTCATTAATCTTTAAAATAATTACAGGAGTCAAGGTTTATGTAGTCATGTACCACATATGATATTTGGATCAATGATAGTTTGCAAATATTACATTATACTATACTATACAGCCTAGGTATGTAACTGGCTAGACTATACAGATTTATGCAAGTACAATTCATGATGTGTGTACAATCATGACATCACTGGAGTATATTAAGGGATGCATGTGTGCATATATGTATGTATGTGCCTATCTACACATATACATGAATTATGTTTATCCTGATATGCTCTTATTTGCAAAACATAAATGTAGGTGTACACACACAAGTTGCTGTATTACACAGACACACACACACACACACACACACACACACACCCCACTCACCTTCAGTAGGCACCTTTCCAGGGGCAAGAGGCTCCCTGGGTACCCCTGAGTTACACTCTGAGGGGGGTTGGGTGGGGGTTGGGGGGTGTAATGGGCCTGCTTCACTCTCCCACCTTCGCCAGCCCCCTCATCCCAGTTCTGGTCCCATTTACCAGGATGGCTCCTTCCAGGGGGCTCTGGAAATTTCCTTTCAGAGCCGAGTTTCCTTCCAGGTAAATAGGCCAGCATGGACAGAACTGCCGGGCTAGGTCTAGAAAGTTCTACTGAGAAGCAGCAGCAGGTGGGCCCGAAGACTCCAGGGGTGACTGGTGGGAAGGGGCGCCTCAAATATGCAGCGCAGGAGAGAGGTCCCCTAAGCGGGCAGGGGTATCCAGCACTCACCTCAGGGTCCTCAAGTGGGCTGGCGGGTCGGTTCACTTTCAGCCTGCTACTAATTTCACTTTCAGTTTCCTCTCAAAGCCTAGGATAGGAAGGGGGAGGAGCAAAGGGAGGAGCGGAGAGTTGAGTGGCAAGGGAGGTCAAAGACAGAGGCGGAGACTGGGTGGAGAGGGAGGAGGGAGGGCGGAAGCCACTGCCGGTGCTAACCCCCAGGTCCGGCCAGCTGCAGCAGGGGACAGAGGAAAACCGAGCACCTGTCTTCCTGAGTGCACACTGTGCAACGAGACCTCGTTATTGCATTGAAAAAATATGACCTATACGATATGGATCTGTGATCTCTGACACTGCTCCGCAGCCCACACCTGGGAGGGTCTGGGAGCTGCTCTGGGGACGTCTGAATGAAGAGAGCACCTTGGGCTTCCTGCTTCCAGGAATGGGTTCCTTTCCACCTGACTGGCTTTCAAAATCCGGGGTGAGAGATTCTGCCCCTCCCCGTTTTGTATCAGAATATATTCATTGAACAAAATGATGGAGTTCACGAAGACATTTGTGTACCATGTACTTTAATCATTGCCCTTTACCCCATCTCCTCTTCCTTCTCTTTTGCTTCATTTTCCCCAGATGGTTTGCGCTGAGAGATTTGCTCCACATGCCATCAAGATAGGTGTCATACTAATCAAGGGAGTTGAGATTTGTGAGCATCGACTGTATTCTTGTCACCAGACTTGGAATATTCCCAGATTATGTCATCAGCTGTGACAAAATACATGCAACGTGAGAGTCAGTATCTAATTCGTTTTAGTGTCTAAATCAATGGCATTGAGTTCTGCATAACTGTCAGCATCACCCATCTCCAGGACTTTTTCATCCTCTTTTTTTAACTTTTACAAAAACTTTATTGAGAATTTCATACATGCATATAAAGTGTTTTGATCAAATCCATGCCCACTCCCTCCCTTCCAACACCTCCCAAATCTCCCCATCACCATCACTTTTTTCTCTTTCTTTTCTTTTTTCTTCTTTCGTTTATTTGTTTTTATGGGGCTTTGGGGTACTCTAACATTCCCCCCTCTGAAGAGGTAACCCTAAAATCTTTGAAGGATTAGATACAAGCTCCCAAATACTTT